GTATCCCAGAACTCTGGGTACTGTGGATGCTTATAAGGGTTCCCTGGGCCTTTCTCCTAGTAACTGAATCCCTGCTTGGCTGATATCCAGCACCTCAAACTCACCACATCCAAGCTCTGATACCTCCTCTTCCTCCAGGCCCTGCTTGTCTTCAGCTCAGAGTCTTAGTACCCAGACTGGCATTGCCCTACCTGCTCCACTCCTCTGCCCCAACAGCTGGCAGGCTCCCAGCCCACAGAGGCCTTGGGAACACCCCCTTTATCCTGTCCCTGCCTCTACTTGGTCCCCCTCCCCCTCCACAATGCCACATTGCTGTGGCCTGTCTTCACCAGACCATGAGCTCCCAGATGGGTGTTATACCCACCGTTGGACCCAGGTGGGCCCTATATACAGAGGGTGAGAAGTATCTGGAGAATGGAGCACAAACCCTGCTTCACCCAGAGGAGCCAAAAGATGCTGTACTCCCACACACTGACGCCCTTCTCACTCTGCCCAAACAGGTGCGGGCTGTGACCTCCTCCAGATGTTGAGAAGTCACATCTGCTCTCCCCTGCAACAGAGCACAGCCATAAAAACAGACCCAACCAGATGAGGGGGGAAGAGAAACTTCCTCAGACTCCAAAGTTGCACCCACCCTTCCAAGTCCCATGTGGACAGTAAGGTGCAGGAAGTGAGGCAAGCTTCAAGACTGGACAAGAACACCTTGGGGACAGCAGCCAAGAGGCCTGAGGCACGTAAACCCCCAATTCCCTGCAATCCAGGACAGATAGACAGCGCAAGAGGTAAGGACCAGGCTCTTGTCAGAGAGAAATGGTTTGGAGGCTGGCTTTTTGGTTGAGTGACTTTGGGCAAGTCATTTCTTTTCACCTCATTGAATCTTTCCTTCTCGTAAAATGGGGGTAATAATAGTGCAAACCCCACAGGGTGGTTGTGCAGATTACGTGAGAAACAGCATAATGCCTTTAGCCTGGCAGGAGTCAGCTTCGGGGGGACCCAGGCTCTACCTGGCTGTGGGTGAATTACCTCTAATACTCCCTAGGGAAGCCCACCCTCGGGTGCGAGTGCGAGGGGTTCTCCCTTGGAGACCCACTAAGTAGGGAGGGGTGTTTAGAAACTTTAGACAGCTTTTTCACAATAAGGGTAAGAAGAAATGCATTAACCCTCCATTACTTAGGACTATTCAACTAACCCACATCAGAACCCTTGCCCACCATCACTCATGCCCCCCCAGAGGGTGAGAGAAGTAGAAGAAAGCAGCTTGTGGGAAACTCTGCCTCTGAGACTCCCATCAAATACTCTGCCCCTCAGCAGCCTAACAGCACTGCCCCCACTGCCAGACCTCTCTCAAAGTTCCTAGAGCTGAAAGGTTCTAGGTTAGTCCCCAACCAGTGGCCTCCTGGATGCAGCGGGAGGGAAGAGATTTGTTCAAAGTGAGGGGCAGATGAGGAGGGGCTCAGATCACACCCCCAAGAGAGGCAGCCAAAGCCTCTTGGAATAACCGCCCCTGCCCCTGCCCTCCCAGAGGTGCTCACCTCATACTCAGTGACCTGTGTTGGAGGGGGCACCTCTTGCTGGTCACCCAGCTAGGATATAGGCAGCACCATTCCCATTTTACAGAGTAGATAATGGAGGCTCAAAGGGCAGAGGTAGGGCTGAACCCAGGTTTGGCTCTAGACCCCCAGGCTCTCCCCTGCACCAGCTCGGTGTGAACAGACTGGTTTAACATGTTCACCGTCACTCCCGAGCCTGCCCAGTCCCCCCTGCGCAGCTCCTGAGGGGCCAGTCACTGCAGACTTCTCTCCCGAAAGACCTCGCTCCGCGGGCTGCCGCGGGCTCCGACGGTCCCTGCCTCTGCCTGCCGTGGCCGAAGGGCTGGCGCGGTTCCGGGCCCCGCGCTGCCCGCAGGTTCATCAATGGCCAAGGCCCAAAGGCCTGAATGGAGGGCACGAACCCGCCCCTTCTTAAAGGCGCCCGCCTCTCTCGGGCACCCTCGGTGATCCTCCCCACTATCCGGGACTGCGGGAGAGCTCCCGGGGTGGGCGGGTCGAGACTGGGAACCGTGAGAGAGAAGGCCTGGGCCGAACAGAGGGCGTGCCGGCCGGCGACTGCGGTCTGGGGATTGTGTCCCTCCGGTGGCCCTCACCCTCATTCCAGGTGGGCCCTCCCCGCACCTAAAGACCCGGCGCCCCTCCGCGCCAGCCAGGGACCCCTCCTCTAGGGGGACCGCCGCGTTCGCCCCACTGCTGGCCCTGGGCCCTAGGAGGGGGCGGGGGCACAGCTGCTCCGGAGGCGGCTCGGCCCCTCCGGTTACTCCCGCTCGGCCCGGGATGGGGTTCGGGAAGCCGTTCCCCGCAGGGGGCGCATCTCCTCGGTCGCGCTCCCTCCCACCCGCGCACACAAAGACGCCACGCGCGGACCCTGGGCGCGTGCGGCCGCGCTCCTCCAGGCAGCGGTGCGCACACACACGCATGCCCTCAGGAAGCCACGGCGTCCGGGATGCTGGACAAGGGGACGAGGGAACTGAGGACAAGCAGGCCGTACCTACAGGCGCGCAGCTGCGGCCGAGCGGGCCGGGGCGCCGGC